CGCCGCAGCGGACCCTCGTGGGTATTAAAAGGCTGAACGTTTAGCCCGGAGCCTGACAATTATCCCATCTCTCAGGTGTGTTGGAGTCCCGGCACAGTTTGACCCTTGCTTAGCACCTACAAACGTGGAATTATAAATCATTGTTCATCATGTTGCGCTGTTAAAGTTGATTTAAAGAGGGTCTTGCCCCTTTGTTAATGCTAGAGTTAAGATTATGATCTTGGCGAGAAGTGCAAAGGTTTGTCATTAAACTCTCGGAAGCAGGTGTGTTGATGACAGCTACTGCGCAGACAATTGGGATCAGTGCATTTGAGCTTTTGATAAATAACAACAAACAATGAACTAGCAGCCAAAGCCTACAGAACTGAATTAAATTGAGTGTACATTTATATTGCAGCCACTCCTTTTAAAAACAATTTACCATTTATTGTCCATTGCAGTATCTCTTTTTTCCTTTTCTTCTTGTTATAAAGAAGAATAGTTCACCCTCAAATAAAAATTGCCTCATCTTTTACTTTCCAGCAAGTGCACTGTCAAAAAATTCTGTTAGAAAGCCCCTGTTTTGCATGAAAAAAGGTCATATTTTGGTTTTGGGGGTCTACAACAACAGGCTGATATGCATGCAAGGTCAAAATACACGTTCGTTGTCTTTTAATATGCATTTATTTTTACCTAAATATCCCAACGACTCCCATATGATTTGTTCAGTGATTTATTTATTCCCAAACCTCTCCTCTGTGTGAGGCTAATCTGCGCTAATTGGAGAGCCCAATGCAGGAGTGCATTACACCAATGCAGTTAAACACCAGCATGTTACTATACTCTTAACCCTAACCCCAAGTAATAACAACAACACATATTCAGTATTAATCCACACAGTGGCAAAAGTTGAACTATTTTGAAAATTGACCAGGCTCCACGCTGACGGTGGCCATAGCAAAGGCTAACAGAGAGAATCAGAGTTCAGAAACGCATTAAAATCGCTAAAGAAACAACCATGCGTGTCGTTTCAACGTGGTTTTAGATGCAATATATTAATAGCCCATAAAGATTTATCCTGAGAGATAGAAAACTCAACTAATTTTACCAATTGTCCCACCTGCTTCCCTAAACCCAGCCGACGGTTTACAAAAGCCGCCCAAAAAAAGAAAAGCCCTGGGGCCTCATGTACGAAGACTTGCGTGGAAATCTTACTAAAACATTGCGTACGCACAAAGCTGTAAATGTGCGTAAAAAAAAAAATTCAGATGTATGAAACACTGCGTACGCCGAATCTCACGCATATTCTTTTGTACATCTGAATGAACGTGAAACTGAGCGCAACATGCACGAGCACAAAACCCCTCCCTGCCTCCTCCCCCGTATGAATATGCTAATGACTATGCTAATGGCAAAACCCAACGAAAAAGCAATGGCAAAAGCAAGCAAAAAGAGAAACTTTAAACAGAATGTGAATTGGAGGTGCTCCTTTCGGAGGTAGACCGGAGGAAAGCGGTTTTATTTGCAAGTTTGTTCTCCGGAATTAACAACAAAAGAAAAAAATAGAGTGGGAGAGTTTAGCTGATGCGGTCAACACAGTTGGGTCTGAACATCGCACTGAGTGCTTTAAAAAAAAAGAAATAGTGTGGTTTATATCTGTAAAATGTTGCAGGATGCTTAACAGTCTCAGTGGCGCTTCTCGTAAGATGCATGTGATCATGAATTGATACATTCGAGCATGAACTCGGCTCGAATCCAGCGTCTGATGAATTCTTTTTTGTTTTTTCCCCCGCTACATATCAGATTTTGCCAACTATTTTTCACGAGAAAGACAAGTAGGAATCATCAATAAGTTCATATCAATAAGCATCATATTTTATTTGCACATTTATTGAATGGAAATGTTTCTGATTCACGCATGCAAATCCATCTTCAGATAGTGTCTTTATAGCAATGTGCGTGCAGTAGATCGCTCAGATTACATTGGGAAAACAGGCGACTGCTGCAAATTGTGCTTTAATGTTTAGCTGGTCAAATGTATGGTATGGAAACCTTATATACCTGCTGAACCCGTCTCATACAGCTGCCATTGCAAGGCTCAGACACTTTGCAGAGAGGAATTTAACACTACTGCCTCTAGGAGTCGCCAATGGAAATAAAACAGACACGCACAAAAAATGTGCGTACGCCAGCCAGAAAGCTGCCGTGAAGCTGCGCACATTCCCACGTTCAGTTCATTGTTAGTAAATCCAAACGTGAGCGATTCTGAGCGTGAAACCTGGCGTAAGCAGCGTTGATACATGAGGCTCCTGGTCTGATTTTTACCAAATTTTCAGATTTTACCACATTCTCACCCTTTTATTTTTTAGATTCTGTTTTTGTCTTACCTGATTTCTGGAACCACTCTTCCCCGGACTCGAACCCTGTCAACTACTCTCTGCATCTCCAGTCCGCCAACGTACATGACGTGCTAACTAGACAAACTGGTTGGGGCGGGAAAGCCCTCCACATGGACGTAAGCGGTCAGCCGTTAAGCGCCAAAAGGAACGGCGTTATACCGCTCTGTAGCATTCACTTAAAAAGAATTAAATGCAGCCATACGTACCTTCAGCTATAATTCGCGGTTTGGGTATTTACAATTGCAAGCCAGACTAGGTTGTCACACAATGACAATGTGTCTTTCTTTAAAATTACAAACACAACTTTCTCATGACTTTGTCTACTGTGTCCAATGGCGCAGCATCAAGTTACTTTAACTAGATTGAGACACCAGAGAACAACAGAGGATACTTAAGGGTCACCCACTAGGTCAAGCTGTTCTCAAGTTTCAATACCAGTGTCTCCATGGTCAGTTAGACATGTATGGCACATAATACCAAGAAAATACTTGAAACAACATTGGGCAATTTAAATAGGAAACATTTTGTGTTTCTAGGATGTCATACTAATGCTAGTACAGCACAAGTTTGGTAAACTAATAATTATTTTAATAAAATATATTGGCATTATCAAATGTCATTTTGTTGAACAAGTACTGGACTGTACCTTACAAAATTCTTGTTGTTGATCCCAGTTGTAAGTTTTATTATTTATAAATAAAGGATTTTATTAATTTATTTTATAATGATTAGTTAATTGAGTAATGCGTGTAACATACAATGTCTTCTTGACAACATGTTTGTCAGTTCTTTTTTCTTTGCAATAGATGGTTTGATTTAATTTACTTTCTGAGCTATAAAATTGAAAACAATTAATCCATAATATGTGGAAAATTACCAGACGTAAGAAAATGTCTGTCATTGTCCCATTTTATTTTTCTACACTGAAAACTACTTGGATATTTTTTCAGACGGCCTATTAGTACTGCAGTTTATATTAATTTGTCACTATTAATATTAAATTAATATTAAATTAATATTAAAGAGCCCATATTATACATGAAATAGGGTCATATCTTGGTTGTAAGGGTCTCCAACAACAGTCTAATATGCATGCAAGGTCAAAAAAACACTTTCATGGTCTTATAATCTGCATTTATTTTTACCTAATTATCCCAGCAACTCCTGTATGAATCGTTCAGTGATTCATTTGTTCCCAAACCCCTCCTTAGCGCGAAGCTAATCTGCGCTGATTGGACCAGTGACAGTCTGTTGCGATTGGTCGACTGTCTTCAGTGAGAGAGTGAAATGTCCAACAGCTAATCAGCAATATAAAAGTAATCACAGTTCATACACGCTCGATAGTGTAAGGCGTGGATTTTAGCTGCCAGTGGGTCAATGTAAATACAGACTATGGACTTGAAAATACAGACGATTTTATTGAGCAAAAACTCCAAAAACAGTTGAGGAGATCTTCTAGCTTGTCTCACTCTGCTCTTTTCACAGACACACACACACACATATTGCACACACACACACACATATTGCACACACACACACACACACACACACACAAACACTTAACCCTGCTCCGGACGACAACACGCACACACACACACACACACTAACAAACACACACACAGACACACACACTACCCTCCTCCACGGAGCTCTGTAAACAAAGCAGCACGCGTTGCGTTTTAAACGTGGCACCCGATATGAGAATAAAGCGAGTTAACCTCATACAGTACACGCGGTTACAAGTAAAAAATCACAACTAAATACATTTGCAAGCTTGAGTCAACGAGGCAACTTTAATCGCACGTACTCACACTTGATAAATGGAGGAAGAAACCCATCCTGACATGTCCAGCAGTAAGTTACTCTTTACTGATCCTTCCTTTAACAAACGCCGATGAAGTATTCTTTGTAGCATGTAGTTTCCAGAAGTTTCCAGTAGTTTCCAACTGCTTGGCTATAATGCTGAGGTTTCATCTTTGGGTAGAGACTCAATAATATCCATCTGCAGTGTGACTTCAATCGACCGGCATGTTTGTGTGTGTGTGTTTGTGGGTGTGTGTGTGTCTGGGTTTCTGTGTTAGAGGGCGGGGCCTCAGGTTTCAAATCTCCCGGGTTTGCGCGTGCACGTAAATAACTTGGTTTCGTTAGTATGCCATGGCGAAACACCTAATGACTCGGTATCAAGGCGACTCGTTTGAAGCACTATGAGTCGACTCTTTTATAGATGAATCAACAGTTTTAAACACTGTACTCTTACAGATTTAAGCCTTAGCTGGATACTTCACTTCACTTAGAGCTGTGTTACACACTACATGGAGGGGCATTTTCAAAAGCCCATAATATGGGCTCTTTAATTAACTCAATTCAATTCATGTTTAATTCTATAGCGCATTTACAACATAGATTGTGTCAAAGCTGCTTAACATAGAAGTTCTAGTAAATTGTTTTCAAAGTTGAAGTTCAGTTTAGTTCAGTTCAGTGTGGTTTAAATTTCACTACTGAAGTCCAAACACAGAGAAGCAAACTTATCGATGCGCAGCTCCACAAGTCCCAAACCAAGCAAGCCCGTGGGACAGTGGCAAGGAACAAACTTCACCAATTGACAAAAGTGAAAGAAAATACCTTGAGAGAAACCAGGCTCAGTTGGGCACGATCATTTCTCCTCTGACCAAACTTGCAAAGTTGCAGTCTAGGCGCCGGTGTAACGAATATGGCCGCTTACCATTCATCCGCCCACCAGAGGGAGCTCTCTCCCGAATATTGACTGGGTACTTCCTCTGTGGTTCTTCCTGGTAGCCACCATATATCAGCACACTGCTTATGTGTGTTCATTGCGAAGTATTGCCAGTTTCACTGCCTACTAAGCGGTTTCCTACTGCTATTTCTGCCATTGTGTTATGACCTTTTTGCCTGCTCTTTTGACTACTGTCTTTGGATTTTGGACTCTGCCTTGTTTACCTTTTCGGACTGCCTCTTTGTTTGCTTGTCGTTGCCTGGTTTATGATCACGATTCATCCTTTGTTTGATGCTAGTTGTTTGTTTAATAAACCTCCAGCTTTTAGATTCAATCCGCCTCCATGTCTTCACCTACGGCTCCCTCACAGCCGGAGGGTGTAGAACGCTGGACATCTTTACAAACAAACAAGACCTAATGCATGTATAAAGTAAATTAAATTTTACACTGACCCTTTTCAGCTCCACGACAGCCCAATGTACAAATTAATGTTAATTTTTTTTTCTCTGTTAAATCTTGGGACTTCAAATCAACTGTTATGTTACAAACTCATGATTCAACACATGACTAGGCTTCAAAATAAAATGATCATATAATTATTGGACAGTGACATGGACGTTATGAATCTGTGTGGCAAATTTTCAACAATAATACGTACAGGAATTGGCAGTGTGCTGATGGTTTAAATATAGAACCAGCACTGCCTACTTTAAGCAAATGTTTCACCTCTGTTCAGTGGTTTTGACCAGACAATTAGCACTAAGTGACTGTTTCGGGTTAGTCAGCATTCACTGGGGACGCTTCAGATGATGACATTGACAAGCTTGTTGTGGTCTGCAGCTTTACAGCTTAAGCTCGGTCACAAAAGCCACTCTGGTGTCGCATTACTCTACATCAGCAGCAGCCGGCTGCTCAAAGCTATTGTTTATGACTGAACTGAATAATCTTCAGTGTTGTTCAAAAGAGAAAAAGAGTTAAAGATTTATGTCTGCTGCACTAAATGGTTTTGATGGTGTTAGTGTTTGTGTTAACACTTTACAAAAAGGTATCATTTGTTGACATTTAAAGAGCACCTATGTTACCCCTTTTTTAAGATTTAAGTCTTTTTTGTGTCTTCAGAATGTGTGTATAAAGTTTCAGCTTAAAACACCCATCAGATTATGTATTAAACCTTTCAGAATATTGAAATTTACTGCTCTGAAGACATTGTAGTTTTTTTTGTGGCCTGTGCCTTCAATGCTAGAACTACAGTTCTACCCGCCCCCCGTTCCCACCAGTGTTGCCAACTTAGCAATTTTGTTGCTAGATTTAGCAACTTTTCATACTACGCTAGCAACTTTTTATTTAAAAAAGCACCTAGCAACACATTTAGCATTTTTAAACATTCATTTGGCTACTTTTAACAATTTTTATCATTCATTTGGCTACTTTTAACAATTTTTATCATTCATTTGGCTACTTTTAACAATTTTTATCATTCCTTTGGCTACTTTTAACAATTTTTATCATTCATTTGGCTACTTTTAGCAGTTTTTTAAAGAGTGACTCAAAAGAGCAGTGGCTGCAGACTTCACTCCTTAGAGTAAATTGCCAGCTCAGATTGCTTTTCATAACTGTTAATTTACTGATATTTGTTAACATCTATAATTGTTGGTAATATAGGAAGCAATCAATTCCAATAGTGCTATAATTGTAGTTATTTTTATACAAATGTGTTAATTTCACAAGTTCTAAAGAGTAAGTACACAAGCTGTGATTGTTTAAAAGAATGTAACTGTTCATTATCAGTGGTATATTTAAAAATAAAATAATTCTTCACTTAAAAATTTTGTATTACTTTTACAAATAGTCAACTATATTTTTTCATACAAATCTAAATGGACATATTTCAAATAATGTTTTTGCTGACATGGCTAGTCAATTTGAGAAAACACTTTTGCTGTATTTATTTTATGTAGTATACTTTGGCCCAATCCCAATTCTATTTTTGTACCCCTACCCCTTCCCCTTAGCCCTTGCAACCGAGGGTGAAGGGGATGGGCTTCAAAATTTACCCCTAAGAATTGGAACAGCACTACAACACCAGCACACGTCATCATATGTTCTCGCGATCTCTTGCTTCATATGAGTCATAATCATCATAATGATTAATATAATCAAATCATCATAATGATTTAATGTGGCAATAAGATCGTAACAGTACTGTGCATTTATACAGTGGCCATATTCATTAATTTAACGCACCAAAAACAACATTAACATTATAGCAGACATTGCCCTTAGCCCTACGCCTTCAAGCTAAAGAGAATTGGGACACCACTACCCCTTCACGGGCAAGCGCAAAACTAGGGGTAAGGGAAAGGGCTAAGGGGTAGAATTGGGATTGGGTCTTTATGTATACTACATAAAGATTATGCAATGATATCATCACGCAAAGTAATATGTTAATTAGAACCTATTTATTGGGACCAGGGCGGGGCTGAGTCAGAGCACTCACCCTGGTTTCCCAGGATCTGCGATTAGTTGGGGAAAGTCCAAATTGCACCAAAAAACAAATGAATTTGAATGAAAATGAAAATTTTGGGACATTGCAACCTGCAGAACCTGGGAACTTAAAAAAATAATAATAATAACCTATTTATTATGCATATGGATGTAATGTTTTAATATAATATAATACACGGCGCCTCAGAGAGTAGAGACATGATGGGCTTTTTTTTATTGAATGCTTGAAAAACAGTAACAACAAATGTCATCAATCAAACAACCACAATCCAGGAGTTTTCAGTCATTTAGTCCAAGATAAGTGTCAAGTCCTTCATCAGAGTTTTTGTTTGTATTGCTTTAAGTTTGTTAATCCCTCAATAGACTCAAAATATATTTTCATTTCAATTTTAAATTTAGAACAAAAGGTATACTGTCACAAAACTTGCTCTCGTGAATATGAAATTTGGCAAACAAAAAATAAGGTTTATGAAATAAGTATTATTTTCCTTTTTGCATGAGACATGACAGGCTTACAACTGTCAGAGACTACGTGATGCCGTCACTGATATTAAGCTACAATTCGGGCAGGCTTTAGCAACTTTTCATTGGAAATAGTTGGCAACACTGGTTCCCACATGCCTGGCAGAGTGTCTCCATCTCCATCAGATAAACAGCACAGTGACAGACATAAAGGAAGCAGATCTCACGTAAAGTTTTGTGAGAAATTCTACAGTAAGAACTTTCCCAATGATTATGTTTTGATGTATTTGTTGTGGAGTTAATTGAAGCCTTTCGATGAGTCACACAAAATGTCGGTACAAAGTTCTCGCACACACACAGCGTGCTTTTAACTTTGCATTGACAGGATCCACGTTAAACTTCGTTAAAGTCCACTGCGGTATGGATATCCGTTATGTTCATGTACAAAGTAAACCTGATTTAACTTCCACAAACCTGGATGTGAGAATTTTCTTTTATAAATGTTTTGACATGCAACTGTTGTGATAAAAAAGATGGTAAAATTGCTGTAATTCATTACACATGCACTGTTTTACAAATATTTTAGACCTGTAAAACTCTTTCTTGATCACACTTAAGGTTGATGATCACAGAGAGCTGAACAGATTTTTTAATCCCAGTTGCTTTGTGCATGTCCTGTCTTGTTGATATGAATATTGGCGGTACTACGGACACATGTTAATACTTGGCTGTCAGTCAACTCGATGGGTGGGGAAACCGCACTCCAATCTCATGTTGCAGTGGGAAGGATTTGGATCCTACTTTATTGTTAATTTAAAAAGATTTCCTAACGTTATCACCCCAATATGACTGTGGACACACTTTACCTACAAACAGTTCTGTCCAAACAGCTTATAAAGGATGATTTTCATCATAGGTGCCCTTTAAATGATATATTTTGTCCCTCTATTCAAAGTCTATGTACGATGGTGCTTCAAAATTTTTATCAAAATATAAAAATATAATTCTATAGGATTTAAGTAGTTTTATCCAAGTCTCTGATGATCTACAATTGCTTTTTATAGTGAACAGAATTCATTCAAAGCTCAGGCATGTTTGCTTGTTGTGTGAAAACTAACGAGGTTCATTCTTGTATGTCATGTGGCTGGTTTAAACTTCCACAAGATCTAATGAGGTTTGTTCTTGCGTGTCAAGCAGGTATGGTTGAGCTTATGTTAATGTTCACTGATCATTGTTTATATGGGAATAAAACTAAATTATGTGTGGTCGTTTTATAGACTTCAATAAAAGTGCTATTTTATTTCATTTTTTTTTGTTTATTTGTTAGTTTTATTGTTTTAACTTCTACTTTGAGAAAAAAAAATGTATTCATTTATTATTTTATACACTACCTGACAAAAGTCTTGTCGCTTATCCAAGTTTTAGGAACAACAAATAACAACTTAGCTTTTAGTTGGTTATTTGGTATCAGAAGTGGCTTTTGTGTAGGCAAAAGCCTTTAGATTATGCTTATTTTACCAAAAAAAAAAATTTGATCATGCCTTGATTTTTAATTATCTAATTAGGACAGTAAGGTCTGACTTTGCTCAGACAAAAGTCTTTTCACTTAACTAAAATAATGTACAGTATAGAATATAAAGTCATGGTGCAGTGGGAAAAGAATTAATATTGTGTCTGACTCCCATGAGCTTGGAGGACTGCATCCATACATCTCTGCAATGACTCAAATCACTTATTAATAAAGTCATCTGGAATGAAGAAGAAAGCGTCCTTGCATGACTCCCAGAGTTCATCCAAAATCTTTGGATTCATCTTCAATGCCTCCTCCTTAATCTTGCCCCAGATATGCTCAATAATGTTAATGTCTAGTGATGGGGCTGGCCAATCCTGCAGCACCTTGACCTTCTTTGCTTTCAGGAACTTTGATGTGGAGGCTGATGTATGAAAAGGAGCGCTATGCTGCTGAATAATTGAGCCTTTTCTTTGGT